GAGAGGAGCAGATCGGGGCTGGAGCCTGAGCAGGGGTGAAGGCTGGTGTTTTCAGTGACTGCTTTCCTCCTCCTCCTCCTCCTCCACATCCTTGTTGGTGAACCAGCTGATTCCCCACTCATCAGCAGAGCCCGTGGTGTGGCTGCGAGGCGCTCACCCTCCCCTGGAGAACGGGCTCCTCCGGGCGCTTCGTCTCCTTGTGATGCTTCCCATGAGATCCCAAACTCTTTCTCTCCTCTGGCTTTTCCATCCTGGATCTCTCCATTAGTGACCCCAGCCAGGAAGTTGTCCACCCTTAACCTCTCTTGTCTGCCTCCCCCAGGGACCTGCCGCTAGCTGGAGACCACCATGACGGACTCAAAGTACTTCACCACCACGAAGAAAGGTAAGGGAGAGGGACGGGGAGGCTCCCACAATTTTTTCTACAGGTTGTCCCTGCAGCTGGAAGCTGGTGGAGGATCCAGCTCTCATGGGAATGCCCTGAGCCCACGTAGGATAACACCCTGCTCCTTGCTCTGATGCAGCTGAGGTGGCTCCTGGGGTACCACGGGGGTCAGAGCACCTTGTCACCAGCCCCCTGAACCTTGACAAGGCTGTTGGCAACTGGGTTATGGGCTTTAGCAGCTCAGAAGTTCTGGTGGCCCCCTGGGCTGGGATGGAAGCCCTTGGGGTGTTCAGCTTAAGCTCTTTGCAGACCAAGGAATGAATACAGAGGGAAGCCATGTGGCATCTTCCTCTTCAACCTGCTTGCCCAGGAGTGAGCAAAGAGCTCAAGGTGGGAGCCATTGCCTTTGGGCTGGGTCCAGAGCTGACTGGTCTCCTCCAGCAAGGTGCTGGGCCAGAGGGGGTGGTGCTGCCACATGCAGAGTGGGGTTTGGGAGCCACCATCCTTTGTACAGCCTTGAGGAGCAGCTCCCAAAATCCCCCTGCGTTGGCTGCTAGGGGTGCCTGCTGTCATCTGGGCGGCAGTGGGCTCTGCAGGGAGGGGAGGGTTCTCCCAACAGCCATGTGTGGGGCTGGGACTTCACTGTGTGCTGTGATAAACCACCCCCCCAGCCAAAAATACCCGCTGCATAAACCCCACATCCTCTGCTTGAGGTGTGAGGTTCTCCTGCTCATCATTCCTGCGGCATCTCTCATCCCTAAAGCCCTCTAGGGCTGGAGAAGCTGCAGGGATGCACCATCTCCATTTCCATGGATGAACGCTGAGCCCCCAGAGTGGCCCTGACTCTCAGTTAAATCCCCTTTTCCAGCTCCTGGAGCACCCAGGGTGGCAAAGGAAGCCCTGGCATGCAGCGGGTGGGAGCTGGGCTCACCCTCCCCTGGGAGCAGCACCCAGTGGGGGCAGTGAGTGCCCCATCCCCTAACCCCTGAGCTCTCTGTTTTCACCTTCCTCCAGGGGAGATATTTGAGCTGAAAGCTGAACTCAACAGCGACAAGAAGGAGAAGAAGAAGGAGGCTGTGAAGAAGGTGATAGCGTCCATGACTGTTGGCAAAGATGTCAGGTGGGTGGCAGTGCTGTCCCGGGGGCCAAACCGTGCCGGGAGGGTGCCTGGATGGATTGTGGGCTCCCATTTTCCCCCAGGGTTTTTTGTGGGGATTTTCATAGAGTCGTAGAATTGTCTGGGTTGGAGGGAACCTTTCAGATCATCGAGTCCAACCATCAACCCAACACTGACAAACTCACCACTAACCCGTGTCCCTCAGCACCACGTCTGCCCGGCTTTTAAATCCCTCCAGGGATGGGGACTCCACCACTGCCCTGGGCAGCCTCTTCCAATGTTTGGCAACCATTTTGGTGAAGAAATTTTTCCTTCTATCCATCCTAAACCTCCCCTGGTGCAACTTGAGGCCATTTCCTCTTGTCCCATCGCCTGTGACTTGGGAGAAGAGACCGACCCCCCCTGGCTACACCCTCCTTTCAGGGAGTTGGAGAGAGCCAGAAGGTCTCCCCTCAGCCTCCTCTTCTCCAGGCTCAACACCCCCAGCTCCCTCAGCCTCTCCTCACAAGACTTGTGCTCCAGACCCCTCACCATCTTTGTTGCCCTTCTCTGGACCCGCTCCAGCCCCTCAATGTCATTTTTGTGGTGAGGGGCCCAAAACTGGACCCAGCCCTCGAGGTGGGGCCTCAGCAGTGCCCAGTCCAGGGGGACTGTCATTGCCCCAGTCCTGCTGGCCATGCTGTTCTTGATACAGGCCAGGATGCTGTTGGCCACCTGGGAAGGCCACCTTTTTTTTGTCTGGGGCAAGGACTGAGCGAGCTCCTGGCCACAGCTCTGCCTCCTGCGGCGGGAGGGAGATGTTTGTGTGAGCGTGGCCGTCTGGCGGGCGGGGGTTTGCCTGCCTTTGGTGGTAATCTGGCTGAAAGAGGATTGCTCTGGCCGCCAGATAAGTTTGTTGGGATTATTGCCACTTCCTCCAGGTGTTACTAAAACTAAGCAGAAACCCTCCCCGAGCCTTTACGGCAGGGGGTCCTCGTTTCCCCCTCAGCGTCGTTAAGCCTTTTGCAGCCATTCCAGTCCAAAAGGATGAGTGGATGCTTTTCCCTCTTCTCCTTTATCTGTCTGACTGAGCAGTGTGTGGCCCCTCTGTCCCCTCCTCCCTGCACCATCCCATCCCTGCACACCCTTGGTGACACCAGCGCTTTGCTTTTAATGGTGCGTTTTGAGAGTAGATGGAGGAAAACCCCCGTCTGAGCTCTGTATTTGGAAAACCCGTGTCTCCCCAGCTCCCAGAGCGCTCACAGCTCTTGGGGCCACCATGGAGAAGGTGACACTGGACATGGCAGGGACTTGCCTGAGGCTGGTCAGCGCCTGGCAGAAGCTACATCGATTGGAAAGGAAATACCGGCTGCGGCAGCCCGTTTTTTGGGGGGTGTCTGTGCATTTTTTGGCTGCAGGAAAGCACTAAGCACTGCAGGAAAGCACTACTAAGCTCAGCCCTCCCTGGGAGGTGCCTGGTTTAGCCTGGGGTGAGAGCAGTGGAGGTGGGTGACAGCAGGAGCTCTGCCAGGGAACCAGCAAAGCGCCTGCCCCCTGGGCTCTGGGGTGGGCTGGGTCTGATCCTGTAAGAGGTGGCTGGGTGGAAGAGAAGCTTCCAGGAGGAAAGGGACATCTGTCGGGGTGGGATAACTCCCACATTAGCCCTCTGATCTTGATTGCCTCTCCTAAAGTGGTGTGATAGTCTAATTGGGCTGTCTGTGTCATTAATAGTCCAATTGGGCTGTCTTTATCGTCTGTGGTCTCTGGCATCCCGCAGCTCTAGGGTGTTTGGGGAGGAGTAGCCCCCTCAAGTGGTGTAATAGTCTAATTGGGCTGTCTGCATCATTAATAGTCTAATTGGGCTGTCTTTATTGTCTGTGGTCTCTGGCATCCCGCGGCTCTAGGGTGTTTGGGAAGGAGTAGCCCCTTCCACAGCTCCACGAAGGCAGCTCTGATCCATCCTGGCAGAGCATCATAGTGCTGCAGGGCTCACCTGGGGGGAGTGGGGCTGCTCCTTAAACCTAGTCCTGGCTGTTCCCTTCTCTAATGTGATGTTTCCAGTGCAGGACGTGGGGCGGGCGCTCAGCGGTTTATGGCAGGACAGGTTTGATGTCTGCAAAAGCAGAGGGTGGTTTGGATAGAGCTGTGCAGGAGGGATTGGGCAGAAGGTGAGGGGGAAACGGCTCAGAGAATCCCAGACTGGTTTGGGTTGGAAGGAACCTTAAAGCCCACCCAGTGCCACCCCCTGCCCTGGGCAGGGACACCTCCCACCACACCAGCTTGCTCCAAGCCCCCTCCAACCTGCCCTTGAACCCCTCCAGGGATGGGGCAGCCACAGCTTCTCGGGGCAACCTGGGCCAGGCTCTCACCACCCTCACACCAAACAAGTTCTTCCCCACAGCTCAGCTCCATCTCCCCTCTTGCAGGGTCAAACCCTTCCCCCTCCTCCTGTCATCTCCCACATCAAACAAGTTCTTCCCCACAGCTCAGCTCCATCTCCCCTCTTGCAGGGTCAAACCCTTCCCCCTCCTGCTGTCATCTCCCACACCCTCTCACAGGCACCAGAGGCTTTCACACCATCCTGTGTCACCTTCTCCTGGGGCAGGGGACACCCACTGGAGCTGGGATGCAGCGGAGCCATGTGGGAGAGCTCAGTTTCTGCCCATTAGGGACTGGTTTGAGCTGCTTTTGAGAGAGCTGTAAAGAAACCCCCGCTGGGGATGGGTGATTTAGCCACATCATTCACCCTCTCCCCACCTGAGCTGCTCTTGGCCCTGGGGTTTTGCTGTTCAGTGCTTTCTCCCTCACCACCACCATCATCCCTTCTGGGTTTTTTTGTGTCTCAACACATTTTTCCACAGCGGTTTCAGCGGGGGGCTGAAGAAAGGTGCCCCATTTCCCTATTGCCATCATCTCCTCTTCTCTCCTGGCCTTTTTCCTTCCTCCCCAGGAGCTGCCATTGCCTTCTCCTCACCCCATTTCCCCAAGACCTTGCAGAGTGGGCTCCCGTCGTGGGAGAACTTTGGATCTTCTGGCTTCAGGAGTGGGTTGAGCTGTGGGAAGGGGACAGCTGTGCTCCTGGGGGGGTGTCCCGTGGCAGTGGGGTCTCCTTCCCCTGGCTCAGCCCTCCTTTGTGTTTCAGCGCGCTCTTCCCGGACGTGGTGAACTGCATGCAGACGGACAACCTGGAGCTGAAGAAGCTGGTCTACCTCTACCTGATGAACTACGCCAAGAGCCAGCCAGACATGGCCATCATGGCAGTCAACACCTTCGTGAAGGTGAGAGGCGAGGGCTGCACACCCAAGAGCTGGGCTCCGAAGAAAGGACCTTGGGCAGGTTTCCAAAGCCTCTCCCTTCAGGAGCAGGAGCTCCCCTAGCTCTAGGTGACCAAGCCAATTTGTCCAGTCATGCAGAATTCAAACCATTTTCCTGGCAGCTGTGCTGTGCCACTCGCTGTCTCAGTGGCAGCTTGGGCTTGTGGGCAGCTCCCAGGATGGAAGGACCCTCATGTGAGCTGATGCCCTGAAGTCTCTGCAGCCCTCGTGAGCTTTCGAGTTGGAGTTGGGGAACTAAAGAGCGTGTGTGTTAGGAGCCAAGATGTTGCCAGATCACTTTGTGAAAGGGCTTGGTGGGCATTAAGAGGGAGTTCTGGCTTTTTAGGCAGGAAAAAATAAACCCCATGCAATAAACCCGAGAGATGCCTTTCCCAGGTCAGGTGGCCGTTTTGCTGGGTGGCAGCTGCCTTCAGATACTTGGTTTAAGTGACAAGCCATCAGCTTCCTGGAGGTGTGTTTGGAGTGATGGTGTGAAAACTCTGTGGGTGCCAGATTGCAGAAGGAGAAATCAAAGCTCTCTCTCTCTTGGGTGACTTGTTCTTGAGAGCCGAGTGTTAAAACCTTCACAGTGAGGGTGACAGAGCCCTGGAACAGGCTGCCCAGGGAGATTGTGGAGTCCCCTTCTTTGGAGATTTTCAAGACCCGCCTGGATGCTCCTGAGTAACATGCTCTAGCTCTAGGCAATCCTGCTTCAGCAGGGGAGTTGGACTAGATGATCTCTATGGTCCCTTCCAACTCTAAAATTCAGTGAAACCTCTAGACTTCAGGAACCCAAAGGAGAACGGAGGTCCCGAAGCCACCTGTGATTCAAAGAGAAGAGACCCTGGAAACCTAACCTCCTCCTCCTCTCATCCCTGCAGGACTGTGAGGACCCAAACCCTCTGATCCGGGCTCTGGCTGTGCGGACCATGGGCTGCATCCGTGTGGACAAGATCACGGAGTATCTGTGCGAGCCCCTGCGGAAGTGCCTGAAGGACGAGGACCCGTACGTGCGCAAGACGGCAGCCGTCTGCGTGGCGAAGCTCCACGACATCAACGCCCAGCTGGTGGAGGACCAGGGCTTCCTGGACACCCTTAAGGACCTCATCTCGGACTCCAACCCCATGGTGATTATTTTTTGCCTTCCCCATCCTCTTTTTCTCTTCATCTGAATGACGGTAAATGCTCTCCCTTCATCTTCACATGCTGACTTCTTTCCTCTCTTGCTCCCTTTCGCTCTCTTCTTGGTGCTTAACAGACCATTTTTGGGGACAGCTGTTTCTGAGGGTTGCAGGCTGTGTTCCTTCCTTGGATGGAAAGTATCTCCAGTTCCTTGGCAGTGTGTTATTAATGTTCCCAGTGTGGAGGAGGTGGCCCTGGCCAGCTCAGAGCAGGGGATGGTGGCAGAGGGGAGCCAATGCTTGGCTCTGGTACCACGTAGCTGGTGGCTTTCGCTTCTGGGGAGGGTTTTCTAGCAGCTGGGCTTTGGGCAGCATTAGTCTCTCTGCTTTTCACCAAGCATAAGAAATTTTAAAGCCTGCTTTCCCCAGGATTTCTCTTCCCCCAGCCTTTACTGCTCTTCTGACCTTGCCGTGGGCATAGTGATGAGCCTGGGATCTGCCACAGAAAGCCACGGGGCTTCTCCGAGCTGCCCTGAGAAGGGGAGAGGGAGCAGGTTCCTCTGTGCTGGGCACGGGGCCAAGGATGACTCCCAGTGAAGATGTGGGAAGTGCTGGAGATGTGGCGTGGGTGGTGGGACCGTGCTGGCGGTGATTGCTCATCTCCTGAGGATCAGCTGGTGGGGAGGGAGGGAGAAGCTGATGCCCAGATGTCACTGGGATGTGAGATGCTGATATTGAGGATGCAGCTCATCCATTTTCACCAGCTTTCCCCCCCGAGGCTGCTGAAGCACGTTTGGTGTCACCTAACACGTGTCCTGTCCCCTCTGGCAGGTAGTGGCCAATGCAGTAGCAGCTCTGTCGGAAATAGCGGAGTCTCACCCAAGCAGTAACCTCCTGGACCTCAACCCCCAGTCCATCAACAAGCTGCTCACGGCCTTGAACGAGTGCACGGAGTGGGGCCAGATCTTCATCCTGGACTGCCTGGCCAACTACATGCCCAAGGATGATCGGGAGGCCCAGAGGTGAGGGAGGCTCTGGGTACTTCTAGGGCAATGATGGCTTCAGGGCACCACGGACCGGCTGGGGAGGGAGACAGATGGGTATGGACACTGTTCTCCAAATATCTTCATCCTCCTGACCTGCTGTGGGAGGTGGGACAGTGGGCACCTTCAGGCCACCATGCCTCGGGCACAGCCACCTGGGGACTGCCGTGGTCCCATAGTGAGCCATGTCCCCTCACTGGCATGGGGATTGCGCTTCCAGAGCCTCTTTAAAACATGGCTTGACCGTGCAGCCGGGCAGGATGGGCACCAGGGAGCTTGGAAAGGGGGTCATGGCCACAGGGTTTTGTAAAGGCTGGGAAATAACCATCACTGGGGTGTTTAAGAGCCAGTCCAGCATCTCTTGGGAAGGTCTTGAGTGCTGCTCAGCTGTCTCCTGCTCCAAACCCTGCCAGTGCTGCCTTCTTCATTGTCCCCCTGTACTCGGCACTGGTGAGGCCTCACCTTGAGTACTGTGTCCAGTTTTGGGCCCCCTACCATAAAAAAGACATTGAGGTGCTGGAGCGGGTCCAGAGAAGGGCGACAAAGATGGTGAGGGGTCTGGAGATTAAGTCGTATGAGGAGAGGCTGAGGGAGCTGGGGTTATTCAGCCTGGAGAAGAGGAGGCTGAGGGGAGACCTTATTGCTCTCTACACCTCCCTGAAAGGAGGGGGTAGAGAGGTGGGGGTCGGTCTCTTCTCCCAAGGAACAGGCGATGGGACAAGAGGAGACAGCCTCAGGTTGTGTCAGGGAAGGTTTAGGATGGATATTAGGAAAAATTTTTTCACTGAAAGGGTTCTCAGCCATTGGAATGGGCTGCCCAGGGAGGTGGTTGAGGCCCCATCCCTGGAGGTGTTCAAAAGACGGGTTGATGTAGTGCTGGGAGGTCTGGTTTAGTGATGATGCTCCTTGTTTGTTGTGTGGGTGTCTATTTTTGTCAGTGAGGGTGACGGTTGGACAAGATGATCTTTAAGGTCCCTTCCAACCTAGAAGATTCTGTGATTCTGTGATTCTGTACTAGCAGTAATATTTAGGCAAGAAGATAAACCGTGATCATTTTCTTTCCCTTCTCCTTCCCCCTCGTCCCCCAAACCCCCCAGCATTTGCGAGCGGGTGACGCCCCGCCTGTCACACGCCAACTCGGCGGTGGTGCTCTCGGCGGTGAAGGTGCTGATGAAGTTCATGGAGATGCTGTCCAAGGACCTGGATTATTACGGCACGCTGCTGAAGAAGCTGGCCCCGCCGCTGGTCACCCTGCTCTCCGCCGAGCCCGAGCTGCAGTACGTGGCTCTCCGCAACATCAACCTCATCGTGCAGAAGAGGTGGGTGCCCCCATCACGGCAGGAGGGACCCTCTCGGGCTATCCCTCTTCTCTATGGGTGCTGCTTCCCAATGTGGCAGTCCCTCTGATGGCAGCAGTGTTGGGGTTTTGCTGACACAGCCTTCTCTAATGTTTAAAATCCAAGGGCTTGAGGTGAGGCAATGGGCGGGAGCTAAGCTGGGATCTCCAGGAGGAGTTTATTTTATCATTGGGTTGGAAGGGACCTTAAAGATCATCGAGCTCTGCCCCTCTGTCTGGGCAGGGACACCTCCCACCAACCCAGGTTGCTCCAAGCCCCATCCAGCCTGGTCTTGAACCCCTCCAGGGATGGGGCAGCCACAACCCACCCTGGGCACCCTGTTCCGGTGCTTCGTTATTAAATTTTAATTAATTTAGGGGGAGCAAAGGATGGAAAAGCAAAAAGCTGAGACTTTGGTTGAGTCTTAAAATGTCTTAATTGAGGAGTTTTTGTGAGATCAGCTCCTTTCTGTGTAGTTGTCCTCTTTGCACAAGTGCTGAGAGTCCTTTTGTCCCTTGGCTGATCTAACATCGCTGGTGGACAGGAGGTGTGTGAGGCCCCACGTGTGTGCCCCGGGCAGAACTGGCCCAGCTGGAGAGCCACGCTCTGCGGTGACAGCCACGATCAGATGATCTGCTGTCCCACCAGTTATCTCCATGGCCAGCTATTAAAAATAGCAGCAACTTCTGGGAGAAGTGGAAAGCAATTAACGTCCCTGGGAGCGGGAAGGTGGAAGGCAGGTTGGCCCCTTGGAGCTGTGGCCTGTCCCTTCCCCAGTTTAGAGAGAGGATGATGTGGTGAGGAAGGTCCAGCCCGGCCCTGTGCCCTCCTCCCACACGAGATGTCCCCTCCAACCTTGGCAGGACAAACCTCCCCTGTTGCTTTTTCATCTGGTCCTTGTTTGCGGCAAGGTTGTGCCAGCGAAGGGGAGCCAAGGGACAGAGTCCTGGGGGGATAATTGGGGCATTTTGGGTTTCTTGGCATTGAACAGGCCCCCAGAACCTTGTGTTTGTGGCCAAGGAGCCTCATCCTCCTGGCCCAGAGCTGTTTGCTCTCTGGGTTTCCCTACCTTATGTCCTTGGTGTCCCCAAGCCCTCACCAGCCTGGCCCCAGCCAGGGGCTGATGATTGATGCTCACAGCTGGTTAATGAAGTAATGAATTTGCAAGGCCTCAGGCATTAGCTGGCTTGTAGGGTCAGGCAGATGAGTCCCCATCCATCTCCTGACCAGCGTGCAGCTTTCTGGGGAGGACGACTCCCTTTTTGCCCTGCTTTGCCTGCTGGTCACTGCTTGGGAGGTGGGAGCAGAGCTCAGGTCTTGCCTCTGCCACTAGAGAAATCATCCGATAGCAGTACTGGGTGTCCAGAAAGCTCTGGAGAAAACCATGGAGGACTTTTGATGTTGGTCTTTGTGGTCAAAGTGAAAGAGTGTGTGTCTCCCTTAATTGCTGCCTCTCGTTGTTGTCCAGGCCCGAGATCCTGAAGCACGAGATGAAGGTGTTCTTTGTGAAGTACAACGACCCCATCTATGTCAAACTGGAGAAGCTGGACATCATGATCCGCCTGGCTTCCCAGGCCAACATCGCTCAGGTCAGGCTCTGCCCGGCCGTGCTGCTGGGCTGGTTGGGCACCAAAGGGGATGTCTGGGGGGGCTCCAGCCCCATGGGCAAGGGATTTGCTCAAGAAATCCTAGACCCAGCTTTGCAGGACACTGGTGGGAGCAGCTGTACCACCGAGTCTGCTTCTGCTAGGTCACTGTCCTGCGTTTCTGGTGGCTTTTCCTTGCTTGCTGGGCTCTCACTGCCGTGTCCCCTGTGGCAGGTGCTGGCAGAGCTGAAGGAATACGCCACGGAGGTGGACGTGGACTTTGTGAGGAAGGCAGTTCGAGCCATCGGGCGCTGTGCCATCAAGGTGGAGGTGAGGGCTGGGTCACTTTGGGTCCCCATGGCAGCTGGGGCTGGGCAAGACATCACCCTCCAGCACGGGGAGGATGAGCTGGGGGGTCATCCCACCCCCAGGAGATGGCACTGTCCTGACACCCTAGAGCCTTGGTGGGCCTGGGGATGTTCTGGGGGGGATGTGTGGAGTTTTTCATCCCCTTACCCTTTGCCACTGGAGGAGGCACACACTCCAGTGCAGACCCAGCTGCCTGATGTTAATGCAGCAGATGACCCAAGTGGCTTTTTGGGGGGGTGGGGCTCTGGAGGGAGCTAATCCCTTACTGAAGGGAGGCTTTGCTTCCCCTGGGGGGTAATTTGAAGAAGGGGATTATCGAAAGCCTTGCTGTGGCCCAGACACACAGGCAAGGTCATGTACCTTTGAGCCTGCTGATATCTCACCGGGTTTACCTCGGGGCGTCCTCGGTCCCAGGAGACAAACCGCTGGACACCAGTGAGTTGGGCAGGAGGAGATGGGCTGGGGGTGGCTCTGGCTTTGCTTCCCACTGGCAGCCAGGCTCTGCCATTCCAGTGATCCCTCCGCAGCGAAGCCAGCCTTTCCTGGGGGGTTTATTGCCACGATACTTGCTGGTTTTATAGAATCATAGAATTGCCCAGGCTGGAAGGGACCTCCAAAGGCCATCTAGTCCCACCCCCCCGCAGTCAGCAGGGACACCCCCAACTAGACCAGGTTGCCCAGGGCCTCGTCGAGCCTCTCCTTGAATATCTCCAGGGAAGGGGCCTCAACCACCTCCCTGGGCAACCTGTTCCAGTGCTCCACCACCCTCACAGTGAAGAACCCTCTCCTCATCTCCAGTCTAAATCTGTTCCCCTCCAGCTTGAAGCCATTGCCCCTCGTCCTGTCACTGCAGGCCTTTCTAAACAGGCTCTCCCCAGCCTTCCTGTAGCCTCCCTTCAGGTACTGGAAGGCTGCTATTAGGTCTCCCCGGAGCCTCCTCTTCTCCAGGCTGAACAACCCCAGCTCCCTCAGCCTGTCCTCGGAGCAGAGGTGCTCCATCCCCCTGATCATCCTTGTGGCCCTCCTCTGGACCCTCTCCATCAGGTCCATGTCCTTCTTATATTGAGGGCTCCAGACCTGCACACAATACTCCAGGTGAGGTCTCACCAGAGCAGAGTAAAGCAGAAGAATCCCCTCTCTGGACCTGCTGGCAACGCTTCTTTTGATGCAGCCCAGGATGCGATTGTCCTTCTGGGCTGCCAGTGCCCACTGCCTGCTCATGTCCAGCTTCTCGTCCACCAGCACCCCCAAGTCCCTTTCCTCAGGGCTGCTTTCCAATACCTCACCCCCAGTCTGTACTGATGGTGAGGATTGTTCTGGCCCAGGTGCAGAACCTTGCACTTGTTCTTGTTGTTTTTCCCCTGTTCATGCTGAGCCGTGTGGCTGTGAAGCTCCAAACTAAAGGTGCCCTACCAAGCTGAGATCTAGGCTCGCTGCTGCACTCCAGCACCTGATGGTCTGAAATGCATCCCATGGGAGCAGGGAGGAAGTGGGGTGGGAGAAGAGGAGGCTCTGGGAGCGTGCAGGGGGGACGAGGAGGAGCCAGACCTGGATGGGAAGGGGAGACCATGCCTGTGTGTCCTCCGTTCTGGTCTGGGTTGGGTTTGGGGGGGAGATACGGAGGGGATAAAGCAGCAAGGAGGGGGTGTGGGAAGGGCAGCAGAGGCTTTGGGATGGGGATGTAAAAGCATCACTGCTGACTGACCATGTCCCTCCCGCAGCAATCGGCCGAGCGCTGTGTCAGCACCCTGCTGGACCTCATCCAGACCAAAGTCAACTACGTGGTGCAGGAGGCCATCGTCGTCATCAAGGACATCTTCCGCAAGTACCCCAACAAGTGCGTGGGGGCTGCCTTGGAGCCTTGGGTGGATTCTCTTGGTCCTAGATGGGCTTCTTCTACCCCTCTGTGCTTGGGGGGAGGGCCCTACAAAGATCTGGGGATGGCAAGGGACAGGGGGCTGCACCCTCCTGGTGGGATGGCTGGTGGTGAAGCTACCTGGAGCCTCCCTGCAGTGAAGGTGGCTTTGGGTTTTTTGCCATTCAGAGTTGTGATCACCAGTCAGTGCTGCCCCAGGAGTTAAGCTGGGGGCAGAAAAGCTGTCCTCAGCCCTGGGGACATCCCCAGCCCCATGATGGCAGTCCCAGGTCCAGACACCCAAATGGACAGGAGCTGCCAGAGACCTTGAGGTCCCTCAAGTCAGCATAAACCACCTCTGGGTCCTAATTCAGTGCTCCTGATGCTGGAACAAGGGCAGGAGGAGGAGGAGGGGAGTGATCCAGCTGAGCCAGGATGAACAGGCAACTCTATGATCAGGAAGTCATGCACTAATAGTGGTAATATATACTAATGAGCTGAATTAATAACGAACAGGAACTCTGCACAAATAGGCAGTGACTCAGGGCTGCTGTGGAGAGGAGGGAGACCGGATGAGCGGGGCTGAGAAGTTCATTGAGGGTCGGGGCTGGCGAGTAGGGGAACGTGCTGTGGGGCTGGAGAGGGATTGGTGTGGGCAGTGTCATGTTGTGTCACAGCCTTGGGGAGAGGGGACAGCCCCAGGAAGGTGACAGGGGCTGTTGCCAGTGCCCTTGGTGATGTCCTGGTTCTGCTGAGGGCGGATGGGACGTGGTTTGGAGTTAGAGTGGAGCTGGGACTTGGGTTTCTTGCTTTTGGTGAACACCTTACCTCTTCTTGGGAAGGTATGAGAGTGTCATCGCCACCCTCTGTGAGAACCTGGACTCCCTGGATGAGCCCGAGGCCCGGGCTGCCATGATCTGGATCGTGGGAGAGTACGCCGAGCGGATCGACAACGCCGACGAGCTGCTGGAGAGCTTCCTGGAGGGATTCCACGATGAGAGCACCCAGGTGCAGTGTCCCACCCATGGGGGGCAGCCCCCCCCCACGCCATGCAGGGGTCTGACCACCAGCAGGACCAGCTGGTTGAGGGGTGACACTGTGACAAAGGTGGTGTTAATCAGTGTAAATGAATCCATTTGCTCTAGCAGCATCGTGAAGGTGTTTTGCTTCCAGGTGTTTGGAAGTGGTGTCCCCACAGCAGCTTTGGGTGAGAATATGGCCCATAAAGTGCCACCATAGTGAATGTCCCAAGCCTTCCTTAATAGCTGGGAGGGATCACCTGGTTGCTTGGTCATTCCTCTATGTCAGGCCAGGATGAGCCTTTTGGAGCTGGAAAACAGAGGCAGCTGGAATGAGCAGAGGGAGGTGCCCACCCCTTCTGCTGGGGCAGCTGAGGCCGGTGGTTTTGCCTGTGGAAATTTTGGGGGGGTTTCCATCTATGGGAACTTCCTGTCAACACCATGAAACTAAGTCACGATGAGTAGGGAAAAGTCTATAAAGGCAAAATAACGAAGCCAGCGATCCTGGGCGCCCCGTTGCAGGTCTAAAGGGACTGTCTGGGGGTAAATCCCTACGGCTGATCCTCATAAAAGTCAGAGGATGCTCTGGCCTTTGCCCTGGTGGGACAGTGTAACCCAGTCCTGAGATCTTGCCCAGTAACCTCGGTGTGAACCGTGGCTCTGATGGGCCCAGAGCGCGGTAATCGGCTTGGAACAGGTTGCAGACCCGGCTGGGAGCCAGGCAGGGTGCCCTGACCCTTGTCACCGCCGCTTAAGCGGTCGCTGTGTGATCCCTAGATAGATTGGATCACTGGGCCAAGATCAACGGCATGAGTTTCAACAAGGGCAAGTGCCAGGTCCTGCACTTGGGCCACACCAACCCCCTGCAGCGCTACAGGCTGGGGGAAGTGTGGCTGGAGCTGCCTGGAGGAAAGAGACCTGGGGGTTCTCATTGACAAACGGCTGAATATGAGCCGGCCGTGTGCCCAGGGGGGCAAGAAAGCCAATGGCATCCTGGCTTGTATCAAAAATAGTGTGAGCAGCAGAAGTAGGGAGGTGATTGTGCCCCTGTACTCAGCACTGGGGAGGCCACACCTCGAGTGTTGTGTCCAGTTTTGGGCACCTCAATCCAAGAGAGATCAGAGTAGGGGAGATGGTTGGACTCGATGATCCCAAGGGTCTCTTCCAACCTCAATGATTCTATGAAAGGCAGGTTGGGCTTGTGTCCCAGCAGCACGTACTGGGGGGAGATTCATGCCCAGGAATGGCGTGGTCGGTCTGTCTGTCTCTCCTTAACCCTCTTCTGTCTGTCTGCAGGTCCAGCTGCAGCTGCTGACAGCCATCGTGAAGCTCTTCCTGAAGAAGCCCACGGAGACGCAGGAGCTGGTGCAGCAGGTTCTGAGCTTGGCCACGCAGGTGGGTGACGGCTCCTTCCCAGGGGAAGGGCTTCCCGTGGCCTTCACATCCCCTCCCGAGGCAGCGGGAACGCCTTGGGAATGCAGGACCCATGGCAGGAGGCAGATAGTTGGAGCTTGATTCTGGAAAAGCTGGTAGTTAGTCCTGGAGAGCGAGGACACCATCTCCCGTAGCACAGGAGGGCTGTGTCCCTGCCACCCCATTCCCAAGGTGGGGTTCCCCACAGGAGCAGGGCTGTATGGATTCAACACTGCCCTTAAAGGCTGAAGGGGTGATATCACAGAATCACAGAATCTTCTAGGTTGGAAGGGACCTTAAAGATCATCTTGTCCAACCGTCAACCTCACTGACAAAAATAGACACCCACACAACAAACAAGGAGCATCATCACTAAACCAGACCTCCCAGCACTACATCAACCCGGCTTTTGAACACCTCCAGGGATGGGGCCTCAACCACCTCCCTGGGCAGCCCATTCCAATGCCTGAGAACCCTTTCAGTGAAAAAATTTTTCCTAATATCCAGCCTGAACCTCCCCTGGCGCAACTTGAGGCCATTTCCTCTCGTCCTGTCGCCTGTGACTTGAGAAAAGAGACCGACCCCCACCTCTCTACACCCTCCTTTCAGGGAGTTGGAGAGAGCAATAAGGTCTCCCCTCAGCCTCCTCTTCTCCAGGCTGAATAACCCCAGTTCCCTCAGCCTCTCCTCATAAGACTTATTCTCCAGACCCCTCACCAGCTTCTTTTTTTTGGGAAGGGGCCCAAAACTGGACACAGCACTCGAGGTGAGGCCTCACCAGATCACCTCTCAGGCCCTACTCCCCACACTGTTCCTGACACAGGCCAGGATGCCGTTGGCCTTCTTGGCCACCTGGGCACACTGCTGGCTCATGTTCAGCCGACAGTCGACCAACACCCCCAGACCCAAATGGAAGGGGATTTCCATGAGTTTGGGGAGCCGTGCTGGGACCGCTTGCTGAAAGGCCCAGTTGGGTGAACTGGTGTCTCCAGTGGTGCAGCGAAGCGCCGTGGCCTCTCCAGCAGAGGTGTGACATAAATAGCTTTAACTTTTTATCCCCGGGATCCCTCTAACGCTACAGAGAGACTTAGATGGGGCCGGGATGCTCCGAGTTGCTCTGTAGTTGCTGCAGCTTCCCCTTGCCCCATGGTTTCGGCACTAACCCCCCCCGTGATTCCCAAAGGACTCCGACAACCCCGACCTGCGGGACCGTGGCTACATCTACTGGCGCCTGCTCTCCACCGACCCCGTGGCCGCCAAGGAGGTGGTGCTGGCCGAGAAGCCCCTCATCTCCGAGGAGACGGACCTGATCGAGCCCACGCTCCTGGACGAGCTCATCTGCTACATCGGGACGCTGGCCTCTGTCTACCACAAACCCCCCAGCGCCTTCGTGGAGGGGAGCAGGGGGGTCGTGCACAAGAGTTTGCCCCCGCGGACGGGCTCGTGAGTATCTCCTTCTCCTCTGAATGACTCCCCACCCCACTCAGGGACTTACAGGGCTGGGTCTGTGCCATGGGCAGGTTGGATGCTGGGCCAAGCGGTTGCCGTGGCCATGCAGAGCTGGCTTTGTGTCCTCTAAAGCCACCCTGTTCCCAAGGTGGGGTTCCCCACAGGAGCAGGGCTGTATAGAATCATAGAATCATCGAGGTTGGAAGAGACCCTTGGGATCATCGAGTCCAACCATCTCCCCTACTCTACAAAGTCCTCCCCTACACCATGTCCCTCAGCACTGCA